CGCCGCCGCCGCCACTCGCCCCGCAGCTGGGAGTGGGGTTGGGGTTGGGGCCGGGGCCCCCAGTGCTGTCCGGGTCGGTACTCTTGGCCTCTTTGCTCTCGTCGTCCCGGGACGAATCGGACTTCTTTCCCGAAGAGCCGTTCTTGGCCGCGGCCGCGGCGGCCGCTGCTGCCCGCTCCTGCTTGCGGAACTTGGCGCGGCGGTTCTGGAACCACACCTGGCGCAAGGGGAGAGGAGAGGCGGTGAAGCGGCGCGAGAAAGCAGGAAACCTGCAAGCCAAGCGCGGAGTAGGACGGCTCACGTTCCGTATCTGTTTGTTTTAAACTCCTCGCGCGACGGGGACCCCTGCGCGCACCCCGCCACCAAGTTCGCCCCCGCGGGTGCGTCTTCGGAGAAACTTTCTTAGGGTCACCTGAGCATGCCAGGAAGAAGGCGGCTTGCAGGAGATGTTAAAAGGCCCCATGTCGCCGAGATTCCCTGAAAGGGAAGCCTTTGTATTGGCCGGCCTTTGCTCAGTCAATTTCTTGAGCCACTCCAAACTCTCCATACCCCTCTAGGCCGCAGGTCTAAGGTTAAACCCTAATTGTTTGAAGGAGGGTATCTCTGGGTTTGACGCTCGCCGCCCATCCTGGCCTTTGAGCCCGAGGTAGCGTACAATGGGGCTCATCTGGAGTGGCGCCTGGCCAGCTCGTGAGTGCACCTGTGTCCCTAAAAGGTTAGGGTTAGCCGCGGTTCATGACCTTCATGGAGTCGCAGCCCCTTTGCAAATGTGATCCCAGTCATAGTTACCCGGGAAAGACACCTATACTCCACGGTTCCAAGTTCAAAGAACTTGAGTTAGGAGGCAGAAAAACAAAAACAAGAAACCCACGTATGATACGGGGCAACGTCTGCACCCCCGCCACAAGTCATTTCCTGTCCCCCAAAGCCCTGCTCATTTACGTCCCAAGACCCCGAAAGTCTCTGCAGGGCTACCTGGGGTGGAAAACGCTTTGCAGCTGTGCACGTACAAACACGAGCGCACGCCCCAACCCTTCCTCGCGTGCACAGCCCTTCTGGAACTTGGCCTCTCTGTTCGGTCCTGGAGTCCCAGGCCCTCGTGTGGAGAGGCCCGGGTATTCCGAACCTCCAGGAGCACCGCCCGCTCCCCGCCTCCGTACCCTACCGGGCCGGGTGGGGCGAAGCAGGGTCGGTTTCCGGGCGCGCATACCTGGACTCGCGCCTCGGTGAGGTCGATCTTCAGAGCCAGCTCCTCCCGGGTGTAGATGTCAGGGTAGTGCGTCTCTGCGAAGACCCTCTCCAGCTCTTTGAGCTGCGCGCTAGTGAAAGTGGTGCGGATGCGCCGCTGCTTGCGCTTTTCGTTGAGGCCGCCGTGGTCGGTGAAGAGTTTGTAAGGAACTGGGGGACAACAGAGGGGACAGAGTGTGAGCGATACTGTCTGGAGCGCACGGGCCGCGGAGCCGGAACGTGGGGACTCCAAGATCCGGTAGCGCTGGAGCGGCCACCGACGCCGGCGCGGGAGACTGGCTGGGAGGAGCTGCGGAGAAAAACCGAGCAAATTAGTTATATACCGAAACAGGCAAACTCCGGGCTTTGGCAGGGTCCCTCTTGGCACGAGCACCTTTGGGTGGGTTAAAACAGCGCGCCGGAGACGACTGAGGGCCGGGGCACGGGATAATGCTTTGAAGAGGAAAGACGAGAGAGGGAAAAAAGTCCAAAAACATCAGTCGGAATATCAGGGAACCAGGGAAGAAATTACCCCATACTCCCACTGTTGGAACTTTTCAATTCTCAGAAGTTGACCCTGCCCAAAAGTTGGGGGGAAAGTGCTGCAAAAAATAATGATAATAATAAATTTAAGAAATAATCATAAAAATGACCAGCGAAAGAGGTGTGAGCCGCTGTCGGTTCTTAAAAAAAGAGACACTGCCAGTAATGAGCTTTACTCTTTGTTATTTAATTATTTTCTAAGCTTTACGTCTCATCGCAAAGTAAATAAATTATGCCTATCATTTTGGCAGCTTAAGATAATTTTGTTGGCGGTTCGGGTGTGACTAGGATAGTGTAACCCTGTAAGTGAATTACCCCTCCCTGCAATCGCTTCTAACGTGATAAATTCTTTCATTTGTGTAAGCAAATTTCGTTTGGTAAATACTAAACACATTTCCATTTTCAAATGCAATCAAGGCTTCCTATATACGAGCGGAAAGGCGGCTTCCTCCGCTGAGAAAGCTGGCGGTCCTTACCTGCGGCGTACGGACTGCTCTGGTGGTCCCTGAGGGTGCCGAGGCTGCAGGATCCCGGCGTGAGGGACGGGCAGCCGGACGTGGCCCCAAAAGTGGTCCTTATCGGGTTATACTGGAAGCCACTGGCCTGGCTGCAGGAACTGAAGTCAGCATAGGCTGAAGCCAGGCTCGAGGTGTCCATCCCAGCCATACAGGACTCGTAGGCAGAGGAATTGAGGTAAGAATATTCCATTTTATACATTGAAAAGGCTCTGGATGGCTCAGCCAAGTGGAAAAATGAAATAAAAGATGGGTATGGAGAAGGTGGCTGGAGTGGGGAGATGTGCACAGCTCAACGCCTGCCTCCAAACTGGCCTCCTTACTACCAGCAGAGCCTAGTTTTATGAAAAAGCCTCCTATGAGATGCCTTGTCTGAGGTCTCTAGAGCATATAGTCCTCATAATAAACTTGGCTCTTTCCACTTGGACAATAGCAAAGCGGTTGGTCTTATTGCTGGCGCTTTTTACATGACAATAACTCATCCGTCTATTGGGCTGGCACTGGGGAACTGAGCTGTCCAACCTCCCTATCATTGATTCCTGCATCTCTAATTAGAATTTAATACCACACCATTACGCACTGAGCCCCTGATCCTCCCTTCTAACCAGCTCCCTGCCCTTTAATTCAATCACACTACTTGGAAATAATGAAAGTTGGGTGACGATTCTCCCTGATCCAATTTCCCCGAGCTTTTAAGCCTTTTTAACTGATCATATACCTTAGGCATAAATTGAGATAGTGTGTGTGTTTTCCCTCTTCTTCGTCCTCTTTTTTTTTTTTTCTCCCCCTTGGTTAGGGAGAAGAAACCTTGATGTCATAGAAAACCTGTTTTGTAAGAGCGTTACACGCTCAATTTAACAACAAGCCTACCCCCCGAAGTGCATGAAATGTTATAAAGGACTGGGACATTGGCAAGACTCAGGCGCCCTGTAACATAGAGTAAGTGGGCCAAGGGGGTTTATGTGAAGGATAAGCGGATTTCTTTAAAATACACCTGGTAGAGGGGGTTTAAAAAAAGAGAGCATCTTATAAATTGCATTTCTCGTCGCTGCTTAACATGCTTTTTCTAGAGACTCCGCTTACACAGCTGTTTAAAAAATAAAACAACATCTGAGTAAAGCTCTTGAATGTGAAACATCTGTCTTGTCAACCGATGGCTTCTTTGAGGTCCGCTCTGGGTCTTTCTGCGTTAGCGCGAGGTTTGCATTTTTGTTGGTTTGGCAGTTCTGTGCGGTTTTGATTTTAATTACTCCATAGCTGGCAAGTGGGCAAGAAGTGTCCCCAAATGTGTCTCCTCTTCCATCCCTCTCGGGCGCTCTCCTCTTTTATCACCTACACTTTTTCAGGTGCCCACAGCCCCCCACAGACCCGGGGCTTCGAAAAGAAGATTCCTGTCTGCTTGCCCTTCAGGTTTGTTGACCGCAGTGAGCACAATCTTTGCTCTTTAAATGCCCAGGCTGCAGGTCGGGCACTTTCCTTGTCCAAACTCCTCAGGCTCTTGGGTGCTGGCAGCAAGGTGCAGACAAAGAAGCGAGCGGTGATTTGTGGACCTCGGTGGCCCCATGATTTAAGCGGAGGGTAATTTTCATTTGGTTCGTTAGGCTCTAGCAGAATAAGGAAAACTATTTCATTAAATCCTTCCTCTCGGTGGACAAGAGGAGGAATGCTTAGTTGAATCGCCGTGTGGTGTAAACAAACCCTGGATATTTTATATGAATTAAATGTGTAGATAATTAGTTTTATTGCATTCATTACCCCCTTTATGTGCTCTGTAACAAGTCAGTAATTAAAGTAACAAACTCATAAAGTCTTTATAGGGGCATTTAGGCGTTCAGTGTTTGCCAAACTAAGTGGTTTAATTCGATGCTAGTGCTGGGGAGTGGATGGGCGCCGGCTCTCCACTGCCACCGTGTTTTATTGCGCACTAAACTGCAGCGGACGCTGTAATGGATTAAACAGGGACTTCGGGCCCCCCAGCCTCGTGCTTCTCTGCTGGGTGAGTTTCAGGCTGGTTTCAGGTGATGGCGCATCCTCTGGACGCGAGGAAAAGCTCATGTCGGGAGTGCACGCAGCAGGACCCGCGGAGCAGCCTGGTGATAGTTTTATGGGGAGGGCTGATAGTTTTATTGCAGTTGTATGTTGTACAATGCGTATTTGATAAAGAAGGGCCCTTGGTGACCAGTGTGCACTTTTTTGTGCACGGGGGTGAAATGAAAATAAATGTGTACAAGGTTGTACTGCGCGAGAAACAAATTGCAACGCTCTAAATGGTTTTTCTTTATGGTCACCAGACAAGAGGAGAAAAGAGATGCAAACATCTGTCTTCAGTCCCCTAAACCTAAAGGCCAGCAAAGACGGATGGGAATCCAAGTGTTATTACAGTGGGGATTTGTCTTTATTTATCCCGTTCTCATGAATATGGATCTGCATTTGGACGGGGAGGTGGCGGTGCCCCTTTGGACGCTACACATGGAATCCCCCCCCCTTATTTACACCACCACCACCACGACCCCCCCCCTCTTTAAGGGAGGTGGAGGATAGGTTGTCAAGCATAAGGCTGCGATTGTCCAAGTTTCTAGAATCCCTCGAACTTTTGGGAGAGGGGGGTGCCTCCTGGTTTTCCGAACACGACCCCGCTTGCCCAGGCCGGCATTCAGGGGGTGTGGATGCAGGGAGCACAGACAGGTCTGGATGGCACCCAGCAAGCCCCCTCCTCCGGCTCACGTGGATTTTAAGCGCGTTTCTCTGCAGGAGAGTGACACAGTGCGTCTGGGCGGCGATGCGTTTTGGCTCCGAGGCCCGTGTTTGGCAATTACCAGGCTTACACCTCTCTTGGCGCCTGTGCCTTGGTGCACCCGGGGTTGTGTCTCCGCCGGGTGTACAGCGCGCGCGCTCTGCCCAAGAAGCTCCATCCTCCGGGAGCCACGGCTCTGCGCCCGCCCGGAGTGCAGGGCAATTACACCTTGCGTCCTAATCTGCAGACAGTCCCTAGAGGTCCCTATAGCCCTTGGGACGGAGGTGGGCCGCAGACCCCGAGTGTGAGGGGAGCTCGGAGGTGCAGGGTTCATATCAACAGCTATTGACAGTGGCTCTTGAGTGACAAAGTAGAACTTTGGGATTCTGTCGGTGCACGAGGGCAGTCCCTAAGCGCTGGAGCTGTTGGCGTGGGGAGTGCGGTGTGCAGGTCGGGGGAGCTGGATCTGGAGGCTTCCGAGCGGGGAGACGGGAGAAGCCCAGGGAGCAGGGCTAAGACTCCTCCAAAGGGCCCGGGCGAGGGGCGTGCGAGGCTGGTGGGGGTGCCAGAGAAGGGTGGGGGGTGAGGGGCAGGCCCAGCCGAGGCCCGAGCTGGGCACCGCCTCGCGCTCCCCGAGGCACCCTGGGCCCCCGGACTGGGTTACTCCCCCGCCCTGCGCTCCGCGGCTCCCACCCGTCTCGACTCCCCGCCTCCTTCGCCCCACCGCACCAGCCCTCTCCCCGGTGCCCGGGTCGGCCCTGGCCTCTCTCCAGGCGCCCCCTGCCGCCCGGCCTCGCCCGGTCGGGGTGCTGTGCGCCTCCTTCTCTTTGTACCAGGGGACTTTTCAGCGCGGGGACCGCACGGTCCGATGAGCAAATGCGCTTGACTTCATTTTCCCCTTTGTAGGCCTTGTAGGTTTATTTTGTTCAGTGTCACCGTCCCCCTTCCCACCCCACCCCACCCCACGCCTCCCCACCCCCACCGTCCCTGGCCGGTCGTCCCCTCTGTGGGTCTTTTGTGGCCCGGGGTCCTGCTTCTGCTCCAAAGATGAAAGGCATGCGGGGCTGGGCCAGACCGGAGCCCCAGCCCCAGCGCCCTGTTTTGTTAAGAGTTGTGCTTTCTACACGCGAGCTCTCCCCTAAAAGTTGTACCAAATGGTTAATTTAATTATTCCAACTATAGACCAACTGCTTCAGCAGCCTCCACCACGCGTCTGGGAGGAAAAAAGAAACCATCTATAAGAAATAATCTAATAAAAGTGAAGTGTAGAAAAACCCCTCCTGATTTTCAACCGGCACAAATAGAATTAGAGCTTCAGCATCCTTTTCCCAAACAGACCTTTTGTCCAGATCACAACTTCAGCCAACCAGCAATGGGTACAGTGCCTGCTATTTATTTTAATAGAAGCGGGCGGGTAGCGAGCTGGATTGATAGATAAATGACCACATGGATAGATGGATGGTTTGGTCCATCCTCTTCTGACTTCCCTTTCTTAATATGTGTACACGGTTGATTTTTTTTTCCCTGCCGATTTTCTGAATCAATAATGGAAAGGCAATGCTATGCGGTAAAAGAAAGAAAGAAAAAAGCCATTTAAAGCACACAAAAAAGGGAAGAAACTACCGGCATATATACCATGAGAAAAAAAAAAAAATGTTTACATGCTACCCAGTACCAAATGAAAAAGGTTGAAAGTTTAAAAGAAACTTTTCTTTCCTTTTCTTTGCCATTCATAGGAGGGTTTCTTTTTCTTCTTCTTTTTTTCCTTGAAAGTCAGAAAGAATGTTAGAAGACAAGGAAACAAAACAGCAAACAAAATGCCATTGTATTGTAGTAGCAATTCATGGGAAAACGCTTGTCAGCCTCCTAATGCCTCACTCCTAGGAGGCTGTTTTGAGGCTGTTTCACCGCAGGCGAAGCACAATAACATGGGAATGAATAAAATATTAAATACCAGTGAGAGTTTCAGAGGAATTTTCTTTTTGATTGCTTTATTTGGTACTGCATCCAAATTATCCCGGCACAGCCAGACCACTGACTGCCAAAGGCTCAACTCAGAACCGACAGTTCTCTTGACCAGAGAATTAAAAGACAAGATTTGTCCCTAGGTTTCTCCAAAAAGATTTCTGCAGGCAGCAGCCTTTCCTACTCACCTGCACTAAGAAGATAACCTCGTCAGAATTTATTGAGACATTTCCCCAGAACGTCAAGCAAACTGACCACAGCATCCCCAAGTCTGAAGATCCACTGATAGAGACCTCCTCCCAGCATTTTGGAACTTTTTCCACATTTTCCATTTGCCTAGCAACCATAATACACACGTTTCATAATAGAAACTCTTTGTATTTCTGGTAACTAACCTCCTGGCACCGTGGGACTCACAATTATTGTGTACAAAGCAGTTAGCACAGTGCTTGGCACCTGGTAAGAATTCAGTGAATGTTAGACATCAGTATTATGATGGTGATGATGATGGTGGTGATGATGATGACGACGACGACGACGACGATGATGATGGTTGAGTCTCCTTGAATTGCATATTAAACACTTGGCTTTGGAATTTCGACACTCCATGGACCCTGTCTTTCCTACTGCATGTTTATAATGCATATGAAAGAGGGGAGACAAATCAAAGAGCAGGCTCTGGGATAGCAAATGGGGGGGAATAAAGCAATCAGGCAGACATTTTCTCTTTTAAGAATTTACTGGAGAGGCAGAAAAAAAATTTTTTTTAATTAAAAAAAAGAATTTACTGGAAGACATGTATGTATAGAAGTTGCTTATATGTTTTGTCTTACTTTATGCGCAATATTTATGCATGAGTAGTGTGGTGCTTTACTCC